CTTTGGGAGGCCAAGGCGGGCGGATCACGAGGTCAGGAGATCAAGACCATCCTGGCTAACACAGTGAAACCCCGTCTCTACTAAAAATACAAAAAAAATTAGCCGGGCGTAGTGGCGGGCGCCTGTAGTCCCAGCTACTCGGGAGGCTGAGGCAGGAGAATGGCGTGAACCCGGGAGGCAGAGTTTACACTGAGCTGAGATCGCGCCACTGCACTCCAGACTGGGGGACAGAGCAAGACTCCGTCTCAAAAAAAAAAAAAAAAAAGTTCTGCTTCCTCCCCGGCCAGCTCAGAGGCCTCCCACGACCCTTAGGGTCCTCCACATTCCTTCCCCGCTTCCAGGATCCTCTTGCTCTGCCCCACCCTGGCTTCTACCCCATCTCCCCTACCTTCATCTGTGTTCCCTACAGTGTGGCCGTGTATGTGAGTTTTCTGCCTCACTAAACTTGCTGTGGCCCCAGGGCCTTTGCACGTACCCCCTACAGGGACCCTCTTTCCCTGGACCTCCCCAAGCCTCTCAGCCTCAAGGGCTCAGTGGGGACTCCCCTGGCCACTCAGGACATTCTTCCCTCCCTGGGCCCTGAATATTTTACCTTAATAGCACTTTAACCTCTCTTGTAATTTTCTGTTTGTTGATTTATTTCCAACAGTCCTCTGAGGGCGGGTAAAGCAGACTGTTATCAATGCCTGAATGCTGTATTGAGTTGATTGGAAATAACTATACACTGTAGATGAGTCAATGAAAGCAACCCTGATCCTTACCCTTGAGGCCATGAAGCCCGGTGAGGCCCCTCAACAGGTGCCCACAGGGAGTCCTGCCTGCCGGTCCCACCTTCCCTTCCTAAGTGAGAGGGCTCACATCTGTTTTCTCGGCTGCACGCTGGCCACACTCACGCCCCTCACAGTCACCATGGGAGGGGAGGATCATTATCCCAAAAGTGCTGATAAACATACCATCGAGGTCAGGGGTGAGTGGGCTTCACGACCATGACACTGAAGGCCAAGGGTGAAGACAACAGCTTTGAGGGCTGGCATTATCATCAGCCCCCTTCACAGATGAGAACACTGAGGCCAGGAGGGTCAGGTGACTCGCTCCAGCATTAGGCAGCAGAGCCAGGCTCAGAGGCTCTGGGACCTTCCACTTTCTCCCAGCCTGGAGCCTCCACGGTCCTTACACGGGGCAACCTCAGTCCTGTCCACGTGCAGATGTGGGGAGCAGGGGCACAATGAGGCAGGGGTCCTTGCCGCAGCACGGGCCCTGGGGGTGGTCCTGGTCATAGAAGGACCCTCCTGCCTCTTGCCCTGCCTCCCCCGTGTTCAGGTTGAGTGATGTAGGACTGGCTTCTCAGTCCAGGCAGAAGTAGGTCAGCTGGTGTACTAGGGGGCTCCCTTCCAGGCCACCCTGCCAGGAATACACTCCAGTCAGGGAAGGAGGGCAGTGCCCGGGCTCTGGGCTTGAATCCTCCTCTGTCTTCACTCTGTCTGTAACTTGGGGAAGAGGCAGGGGTACTTGAATCTCAGTGGGACCAGGAGCTTCTGAGGCCAGCTCTGCCAATCCCTGGGCTGCCCTGCCCTTCTCTGGCTCTCACTCCTTGTGCCCCCAAGCCCCTTCCAGTCAATGTGTCCCCAGCAGCTCCCAGGCCCTACAGGTGTGATTGAGGGTGGGAAGTAACAGGTGTACAGCAGAGCTCCCTGAAGGCATCACCCTCACGTATCCCCACTAGACCTTCCTCGCTCTGCTGCCTCCAGGGTGGTGCCTGGCCAGAGTCCTGTGGGGGAGAGTTGGGGGGGGTCAATGAACATCCCCTCCCCACACCTCAGGTCTGCACAAGAGCCTTCCTCCCCCTTCTCCTCCCTTCTCCTCCTCAAATCCTGGCTGCTTTCAGTGCCCCTCTGTGCAGCATCTCAGAGACCTTGGGGCTCTGGGCTCACCTCACACGGCTCAGCCACCCCAGGTCCTGACCACACCCTGCACTCTCGGCTCCCCTGTCCCCGACCCAACTGTGCCGGTCCTCCTGGAGGCTGGCCCCTCCTGCTTCACTCCTGGAGCCAACACACAAGGTGCTTTACTCCTTTGAACCCCAATTTCCTCAGGGGATAAGAGAAATACAGGCAGCTCTGCTCACCTCCCGCTCCCTGTCTGTTCCGTGTGAGTTTCTGTGCATTTCAAACGCATGCCCACGTGCTGCCAGTTGTTGTTTTCAACGGCTCTCCAGGTCTCCCTCGGCCCTAGGCAGCCCGGATGCTGGGTCACGCAGGAAGTCAGATGGAAAGATGGAAAGAGGGGCAGCAGATGGCGACAGCATGGTGCCTGCGCCTCGTCTGGAGTGGGGCTACTCTGATTCTCTGGTCCTTTTTGGGGGCAGCTGGCAGGCAGTGGGGCAAGGGGCACAAACAGTTCTCCTGGACCTGCAGAGCCATGGACTCTGCTTGCAGCAAGTTGGACTCTCCTGGGGGCTCTGCTGAGACCTTCACAGGCCTATGGTCCCTGCCTGGCTCCGCCTCTTTGGCAGCTGTTCTGTCTATCCTGGTAGGGGAGCTTCCTTATGTCACAACACAAGGCACCCCTATCCTGGCTCTGGCAGCCCTTAAAGGAAGCCCACGCCTCTCCCACACACTATCATTTCAAGATCACCAGTCTGCAAGTGCCGTGGATGCACTTCCAATTGTCCCAAGTCCCCATGAAAATGTAACTCAAGGCTAGGCATGGTGGTTCACACCTGTAATCCTAGCACTTTGGGAGGCCGAGGCGGGTGGATCACTTGAGGTCAGGAGTTCAAAACCAGCTTGGCCAACATGGTGAAACCCCGTCTCTATTAAAAATACAAAAGGCCGGGCGTGGTGGCTCAAGCCTGTAATCCCAGCACTTGGGAGGCCGAGGAGGGCGGATCATGAGATCAGGAGATTGAGACCATCCTGGCTAACACAGTGAAACCCCATCTCTACTAAAAAAAAAAAAAAATTAGCCGGGCGCGGTGGCAGGCACCTGTAGTCCCAGCTACTCGGGAGGCTGAGGCAGGAGAATGGCGAGAACCTGGAGGTGGAGCTTGCAGTGAGCCGAGATTGCGCCACTGCACTCCAGCCTGGATGACAGAGCGAGACTCTGTTTCAAAAAAAACAAAAAACAAAACAAAACAAAACCCCAAAAAATTAGCTGGGCGTGGTGGTCGATGCCTGTAATCGCAGCTACTTGGAAGGCTGAGGTAGGAGAATTGCTTGAACCCAGGAGGTGGAGATTGCAGTGAGGTGAGGTGGTGCCACTGCACTCCAGCCTGGGCAACAGAGTGAGGCAAGAAAGAAAAGGAAGAAAAGCAAAGCAGAGAGAAAGAGAGGCAGGGAGGGAGGGAGGGAGGGAGTGTAACTTGAAGAGCTGGGGAGGAGCAGTGGAGCCCCTCTCCTGGAGCCCCTCTCCTGGGCATTGCCTCCTCCTGGGTCCAGCCTAGAGGGAACACCAGCGTGCCCGCGCCTGTCTGTGGCTGACCACCTGCCACCACCCCTCCCTGTCTGTCCGAGCTGGCTCTCTGCAGGCGCTGCCCGCTGTCAGGATCACTTGGTCTGAACTCGGCACTATACATGCACCCCAGAGAATGCCATCTTCAGGGTCAGCCCAGTTTTCTGACCTGAGGAGCTCTTTTAAGATTCTGTTTCCAACGTGTCCCTGATCTCTGTCCCCCACCTGTGACAGCTGTACAAGCAGGCCGGCTTCCCACCAGGCTAGCTGAAGGCTCATGCCCTCCTCACAAAGGCTCCCCCAGCAGTCAGACAGCAACACGTGGGTGGTCCTGGACGTTACATCTTTGGAGCTGGTCAAGGACCAGGGACCCAGAGATTGTTGGCAGAGATTACAGGAGGCCAGAGTCTATGAGCAAAGCTTCAGGGAGAGGCACCAGCCCCAGCCTCCCTAGTGGCTAGTCTGTCTGGTGAGCTCTGGCTGCCACTGCTGCCGTGGTTGGCTGGCTGCTTGTTTCCCAGGTCAGCACCCTCCACCTGCCTAGGCCTTACTCCATATTCTTGCAAAACTCCCTTTCCTGCTTCAGTAGCCATGGGAAATTTCTGTCTTCTGTGACTCAGGCCCCAGTTGGCAGTGTAGGTCTGTGTCTATGTGAGCCTGTGGTCCCTGGGTCAGCGAAGTAAAGCGAGTGGCCCAGGCTACCCAGGGAGGAAAGCACAGGCCCCTGTAAGCTCCATCAGTCCACCCCGTGCCCACATTCTCCCTGCCACTTGGCACCTGCTGCAATGTTTTTCTCTCCTACCACTCACTTCACCCCCCTATGCTGCTGAACCTGTTTAATTGCCATATGTGGCAGACATGAAGTCGGGGTCATATTTAAACATGGGAAGCTCCACCGACTAGAGACCCTATTGTACAAATCCTTCAGGGAATCAAACAGGCCTGTCTTTCTTATTTTTAATAATGGCAAAAGAGAGAGCATACCACAGTACAGTAAAATCCTCCTAAAACCATGTTCGCCAGAAGGAAAAGACAGACATAAACTACCTTTGACTTATTTCCCCTCGAGCATTGGATGTCATTCCTCCAGGGAGGTTGTGCTGTGGCAGGGATCTGGGCATGTGGGGACACAGCAGATGCCTGATGAATGGAGCCACCGTGACGGTTATCCTCCAAGCTGGGGTCTGATCCTCTGCTACACAGGGAGGCTGGCCCAGGCCCCAGAGCCTGAACCAGGGGTTCTCTAAGTGTGGTCCCAGTGCCCGCAGCTTCAGGGTCACTTGGAAACACGTTAAAATGCAAATCCTCAGGCCCCACCCCAGATCCTGCGCCAGGGTGGCAGCGGTGGGGGGCAGCAGCCTAAGCTCTATGGTGCCCTCTACGTGGTTCTGATTCAAGTCTGAGAACCCAGGTCCAGGGCTGTCCACTGGTCAGACAGAGGAGTCCAGATAACAATGGAACCTGTGGCCAGGTGTTGTGTGTATTTTCACTGGACCCTCCAGGGGATTAGCGCTTTAAGCCTTCAAAGAGGAGGGAATTAACTTTTGCTGAGCACCTGTGAGATTTAATTTCTCACGTACTCTACATGGCAACCCCACCAGACGGTCATTCCTTTCGAATGTTAAAGATACGTGTTTAGAGCAGATGATCATGATTACACAATTGGTGTGCAGCACGGCCAGGTGGCCAGATCCCAATCCCACACCCTCCTCCCACCACCATGGGCCTCAGGGACGTGCTTCTGGCACAGTCATGGACCCTGGGTGACAAAAAGGGTGGGACAGGGGACGCAGGATCTTCAGATGGCCCCACAGTGCGTCCTCTGGGTTTCTATCTCCCAAGCTTCTCGCCCTGGCCTGGTTGCTCTGAGGGCCTGGAGAGAGGCAGAGACAGGTTGGTTATAGGGAAAATACGCACACTACCAGCACCCCTGGACACGCACTGCTGACCAGGCATAGCGTTCAGTGGGGCTAGGACTTGGGCGTGGGTGCAAGGCTTGAGCGGGGGTGCAAAAAGCCAGTCTGGGCAGATGCCTTCCCTCCGTGGGGCGCTGATCCCAGAAATGGTGGACGGAACAGGGCTGCAGTACGTTGCACAGGGGCCCTGGGGTCTTAACCTTCGTGGGCCTCTTCCTGCATAAAATAAAACATTTAAAATTAGAGTTTACAACTGCATTCATATAAAGATGAATATACTCCAGGCTAGACTCATTATTATTTTATTATACTGTTTTTTTCTTCTGATTTTAAAATAGTACCTTCCTAGGGCTGGTTAGGATGTTTCCTGGGCAGGCCTCGCCTCCTTAACCCCTGCAAAGAAAGCAGCGAGGACTTCCCTTTGCCCCTTAGCAGAAAGCTGCGCTCCTGAATGGTTATGGGTGTGACTATTCACGTACATCCTATCTGCAGGACATACCTGGAAAGGTAGGTGGGAGACAAGAGGGAGCTGGAAGCCAAGACTTAGGTCCCGGATATCCTAGTCCACACTTGTCCCCAGCAGGTGTGTGAGTGCCGGCGCGCTGCGGAGCCTCTCTGGGTCTCCGTTTCCACAATTGGTAAACAAGAACGCTGGGCGGACTGAGCTCTGAAAGTTCTCGGAGCTTGACAATCACAACTCAGCCGACAGGCCGCCCCTGCCCCCAGGAGGGCGGAGGCACCTGAGTCTCCGGTGCGGAGGGCAGGCCGAGGGAACCCGCGCCAAATTGGAGACGTGCAAATGCAAGACGGCTGCTGCTTTCTCTCTGAGAAGACACTCCTAGGCTCCCAGGCGGCCCAGGAGCTCGGCTGGGCGGGATGATCCCGGGGGCCCGTGGGCCGGGTCTGTGGTCAGCTCTGCCGTATGTCTGTGCGTGCCCAGTCCCGCGGGTGACCAAAGCCCGGGGGCGGGCGGGGCAGGAGCCTGCACGCGCTCAGGACCCTCACGCGCCTGGAGTGGCCAGGTTTGCGGGGGCGGAGCGTCCCAGCGCGGGCGCCGGGGCGGACCCTAGGGCGGGGCGCGGGGCGGTGTCGGTGGAGCCGGCTCGGCAGCGCGGGGAGGCGCGTAGTGCTGCGGCCGGGCTCCGTGCGCCCCGGCGGCCACCATGCTCAGCGTCGTGCACTTCCTCCGGAGCTTCTTCAAGGTGAGAGCAGGCGTCCAGGACTTGCGGTCGGGCTCGCGGCGCCCTGCGCAGGTGGGGAGGAGCACAGCCCGCGCTGGCCGCTGCGCCCCGGGCCGTCCCCTGGGCACCCGGTGGGTGGGGACACCCTCGCGGCTCCACGCCGCTCCCAACTTCCGACGTGCAGACCGGAGGCGGCGTCCTGCGAAGTGGGGCCCCCTCGAGCGCGGGGAAGAAGGGGGCTCCGTTGGGGGCGGTAGGGACGGCGGCGCCGGGCGAGGGCAAGGGCGAGCGCCTGAACCGGCCTCCCCGCGCCTGGACCGGCCTGGGCGCGTGGGGCACTCGGAGCCTCTGCGTGGACCGGCCTGGGCGCGCGGGGGCACTCGGAGCCTCTGCGTGGACCGGCCTGGGCGCGCGGGGCACTCGGAGCTTCTGCCTGGACCGGCCTGGGCGCGCGGGGCACTCGGAGCCTCTGCCGCTTGGCGCAGTACCGCCTGTTTCGGGAAGGAGGGCTGGTGCCGGCCCGGTGGGTGCGGGAGAAGTGGTTGCTGTTGTGTTATTCCCGGGGCTAAGGGTACCTGAGGGCGCAGCAGCGACAAGGAGCTGGAACTAGGGTCGGGGCTGTTGGGCTCCTGCCCGGGGTGCCCCCTCTCTGGCCCGATTTCCGGGTCCGCTCGCCATCCAGACCTGCTCAGTTGGGACGCCTCCACCTCGCTGCCCCCACAGGAACCCCAAAGTGGGCAGGGGCTCCGGGGCACTGTCGGGGTGGCCGGCCACAGATTGCCAAGCCCCACCTCCCCAGGTGAGCCAGCAGGAGGGCGGTTGCGATGCTGGTGGTGCTGGCCTCCGACTGCTGGAGCAACTGGATGAAAGGCGAGGCGGGGAAGAGCCGCCAGCTCTCAGCTGCAGGTGCAGGGGGAGGCAGACCTGTGTGGGGCTGTTGGGGCGAGAGGGCGCCCCACTTGGCTGTGCAGTCACCTTCTCCCAGAGTTGAAGACTGGAGGTTGGGGTCGGAGTTCTGTGGCCCTGAGAGCTCTGGTGAAAGAGGCAGGAAGCCAGGTGACCCAGGACAGACCTGCAGGAGCCCTGCCCTCAGCCCCTCTGAGAGCCTGGCATCAGCTCCCACCCCCAGCGATAATGAAGTGATACAGGCATCAAGAGTGGAGAGGGCCCGACAGCCCCGAAGGCGGCCTTTCAGGAACCTGGGCTGGTAAGTGCAGGAGATGGCTTGGAAGAGCTCAGACCCGCTTCAAATGCTGACCCTGTCATTGAGGAGGTGTACAATCTTGGGACAGTCACATAACCACCTGGGTCTTTGTTTTAAAAGATGTGGGTGATGATTCCACGCCCTCCACACCTTTCAGGGTTAGTGTGAAGGTTTTATTAGAAAATGTGAGTGTGGGTCGGTGCAGTGGCTCATGCCTGTAATCTCAGCACTTTGGGAGGTGGAGTCGGGGGTGGATTGCCTGAGGTCAGGAGTTCGGGACCAGCCTGGCCAACATGTTGAAACCCCATCTCTACTAAAAATACAAAAATCAGCTGGGCCTGGTAGTGGGCACCTGTAATCCCAGCTACTTGGGAGTCTGAGGCAGGAGAATTGCTCGAACCCGGGAGACAGAGGTTACAGTGAGCCAAGTTAGCACCACTGCACTCCAGGCTGGGTGACAGAGCGAGATTCCATCTCAAAAAAAAAAGAAAAAAGAAAAAAGGAAGGAAAGAAAGAAGGGGGGGAGGGAGGGAGGGAAGGAAGGAAGGAAGGAAGGAAGGAAGGAAGGAAGGAAGGAAGGAAGGAAGGAAATAAGGAAATGTGAGTGTGTTTATGAAATGGTGAGCCCTGGACCTTGGTTCTGCTGCACCCACAGCAAGGGTGGCAAGGAGTTGCCCAGGTGAGAGGAAGGTGGCTGGACAGAATCTGAGATGCCTGGGCAGAATCTGAGTCACCCAGCTGGCCCCAGAAGCTCCGGGAGCAGGCAGAGTGTGGCTGGAGGAGAAGCCGCTGGACATCTCTGGGCAGCCACCTTGCCTGCTGCTGCCTGGGAGGCTCCTGGGAAAGTACTGCAGAGACACGCTGTCCTCCAGTTTCCCATCTATTCGGAGAGGACTTTCCATACTTTCTGCCGTGTGTCTGCCTCAGGTCCCTGTAGGTCCTGAGACACCTGAGGCCTCCCCATGCACACCACAGGGAGATCAGCTGTGCCCCTCAGAGGGTCTCCTTTCTGCTGTCCACATGGGAGGGCTCTGACTGCCACAGCAGTCCACTTCTGGCCGTGTGAGTGTGCCTTGCCGAGCCACCGACAATGTAGTTCATACTTATTCCTCTTGGACATCGGTCGTAAGGAATACCCCGTGAGGACACAGGTTGTGGGGCGGGCAGGGGAGCTACGTGCTTGAGTCACTGCCTGGTGCCTCCTAGTGTCCCCAGGGATTGGTCCTATGAGGTTCCCCTGATGATGGGTGCTGGACTGGGCCAGAAAAGGCCCACTTCATTCTGGGAACCTCAGATTGTCCGGGTCTCCCAGTCAGACTCTGTTAGCCGAGATGCAGCGAGTCTCCACCAAGCCCAGGAGGAGGACCCCAAGGCCCCAGGTGTGACTCCTGGTGGCACTTGGTGCAGACTGTACACAGCATACAGATCTGCTCGAGCACGTTGGGCACCGTGGGATCCATGGGGCATGACAGCCGTGTGGCAGAGTCCCTCCCCGTGCAGGCAGACCACTTGGAGAGCCTGCACCTGCCAGGGGCCCACACAGGTGCACAGCCTTGGGGGTCACCCAGCAAATGAGTCAGAGGAGCAGCACACCCAAGAGGAAAATATGTTGTCTGAAAAATCCAGAGGCCCTCCCAGCATCGTGTGTGCCAAGCATGACTTTGGCTTTCGAGGGGGTATTTCAAAATGTTCCAGACAGCTGGACACCCCTGCTGCCTGCCTGGAGCCGTCACTGAAGTGGCAGGTCCTTGTATTTTCATAGACTGTGTGTCCTACACTCTGGTACATGTATGTCCTGACACTTAGGGTACTTGGCTACTCCGTCTCTTGACCTCGTGATCCGCCCACTTCGGCCTCCCAAAGTGCTGGGATTACAGGCTCGAGCCACTGCGCCTGGCCAAGAAAGTGTGTTTTTACAGAGGCACGCTGACCAGGAGAACATCCTCCTCAGAGCACCATGGATGTGGCCGGTGGGAGAAGCTGGGTCAGGTGTGGCAGTTTGCCTCTGTGCAAGGACTCAAGCTTGTGAGAAAAGCTGAAAGCGACTCACAGCGTGGCACATCCACAGAGCAGCACTAGCAGGGAGGGAGCTGCTGCCCTACCCACCAGTCCGGACTGGCCTCCAGGGAACCAGGCCCAGTGGCAGAAGCCAGACCTACGGTGTGATCCCAAATGCGAACCTACAGTGACAGAAAGCCCACAGGTGGCTGCCTGGGGACAGGTGAGGGTGGGCGGGAGCCAGAGGGCGGATGAGGAAGGACAGAGGCAGTGGACATTTGCTGCTGACTCTGCACCTGTCGAAACCCTCAGGTCGTGCTTCCAGTGTGTGAGTTTGTTGTGCATCAGTTACACCTCGATCCAGCCAGGGCCCCTCGGCCAGAAGGCGGCCATCTCCCTGCAGACCTCAAGGTCTGTTGCCCAGGACCTTCTCTGAGAGCTCAAATAAGCCCCTTCCTGCATCTGCTCCCTGGGTGCCCCACGCACGGAGCCCAGGACGATCCTGCATCCGCTCCCTGGGTGCCCCACGCACGGAGCCCAGGACGATCCTGCATCTGCTCCCTGGGTGCCCCACTCACGGAGCCCAGGACGATCCTGCATCTGCTCCCTGGGTGCCCCACGCACGGAGCCCAGGACGATCCTGGGGCAGCAGGTGGCAGTGCAATGAGCCAGGCTCACAGAGACCAGTGGTTCAGGCTTCCTCAGCTGAGTGTTCAGCTCGAACCAAGCCTGTCTGTGCGTCATCAGTGCTGTGTCCTTGCCGGCTGGTGTTGCCAGGGCCTAGGGCCTGGGGAGTGTCAGCCTGGGGTGACCGGTCATCTGAGGCCCCTACAACCCGAGTCACCTCATCTCGGGTGCTGGGCTCCCAGGAGCCACCCACACCGACTGCCAGGCAGGACCAGGCTGCTGGTCCTGTGCCAGCCTCCCTGCCCCGCTTGGCTGTGTAGCGTAAGCCAGTCCTCCCTCTCAGCGCCCCCAGGCCAGCGCCCTCCCTCCAAGACCCTCAGGAACCTGCCTGCGGGGGCTCGCTGTGGGGAGGTGCACGTGGGGAGAGTGACATGGGACGGTGAGAGAGAAGGGCCTTAGGGCAGGATTCGGGCCTGGTGAGAGGGGCTTGCGGAAGCTGGACTTTGCTTGGATGGATGCCCTCAGGAGGGGCGGGGGCAACTCTAGGGTCAGGGATCTGTCTTTAGCAGAAGGAGGAAGGAAGCCAGGCCAGAGCTGGACAGCCAGGCAGCTGGGACACTCAGGCAGTTGGTGCAGGGCATTGATGGGGCCTCTGTGGTCGGGGCAATGCATGTTGGTCTGTGCTCAGACATGAGTCCAGAGAGGCTTCTTCTTCTCCTGATCCGTCATAAGGTGGGAGTTGTGGGGCCCGCGGGGTCGAGTTCCGTGACACCGGTATGTTTAGCAGGAGAAGCAGGGCCTGACTGGTTGGTGGATGCACAGGGTGTGTCTCCACCATATCCATAGACATGTGCCAAGCCCTCCAGACCCCAGATTTGATTCTCCAGGGGAGGCCTGAGCAGGTCTTTTAGG